TGTTGCTCTTCAGGCGGTGTGGGTGCGGAACCATCTTGAGCATTCTTCTCAACCATCAGGGACAATGCCCTACGATTTGCTTTTCGGCAAGAAGCCTGATCTGAGGATGGCTCGCGTCTGGGGGTGTATGCCGTAGTTTCTTGTTCCGCAGAACAAACGTGGCGGGAAGCTGGCCCCTAAGGCTCATTGGGCTCTCCACCTGGGGGTGTTGCAGCAGAGCAAGGGATGGTTGGTGCTCGATCTGGCGACCAATCGTTTGGTCACCACGATGGAAGCAGTCTTCTATGAGACGATGGCGCTCGACGGGTGGAAGGCGACGAAGCAAACTCCGACCAAAGTCGTAGACCCCGCTTTCATTGATCATGCATCCTCCTGGCCACTTCTGGATGAAGAAGTGGAGGAAGAGGCTGAAGGGATTGAAGTTGTTCGACCTCTGCTGCCTGCGTCGATTTCGCCACCTCGACCCCAGCCTCCTTCGGCAAAAAGCACTCCGGCCGTAGGACCTCCTGTTGAGGATTCTTCTACAGAAGAGACTTCTGCAGATCCTCCGTTCGTCGAAGAACGTGATGCGCCCTCTGCCTCACCGAGCGCACCCTCTTTTTCTGTGTCGTCCTTTGGGGAGGAGGGGAATGAGGTGCCTCTTGGTGTCATCCCCAGTGAACAACACTCGGAAGAGCGACAAACCGGTTCTGCGGACGAAGTACCTGCAGAAGAGCTGTCTACAGGGGAGCAGTCTGCAGAGGATCAATCGGCAGATGAGCATTCTGCAGAGGAGATCTCTGCAGAAGAGCCACTTGCAGAGCAGCCCAATCTGCAGCGATGGACACGATCCAACAAGGATGTTCCGCCAGTTCGTTACCGTGTGGCGTTGACGACGTTCTCGATGAACGTCCTCGACGGCAGAGACGAAGACGTCGCACTCAAGGAGCTTGACTCGGCAGAAGATCGTGTCACAGATCCAGGACGTCGCTGGGACATATTGAAGATGCCTATCCTAGTCGCCTTGAAGAGTTGGAAGGGCCCTGCGGTGAAGGCGACGATGGACAAAGAGATTCAGACTCTGTGGGACCAAGAAACGTGGGATTTGGTTTTCCCACCTCCTGGCGTCAATGTGATGGGAAATCGCTGGGTTCTCGCTACCAAGTATCTTCCCGACGATACGGTCGAAAGAGAGAGGAAGGCGTCTTGTCATTTACAGATTTATGAAACTGCCTAATCTTGACTACAACCTAACGTATGCTCCAATCGGGAGCTAAGTGACTTCTCTTCTACAGCTACTCATTGCAACGGCACGACTAGGAGCTGATGCAGATCGACATAACGAACACGTTTCTCAATGCACCCATCGAACGTCCTCTCTACATGAAGCAGCTGAAGTACAACGATGACGGCATCCACATATTTTGTCTTCTCAAAAAGAGTCTCTACGGACTCAAGCAGAGTCCAAAGCTGAGGTACGAATTTCTCGACAGAGTTCTGCAGAGCGGAGGCTGGTCGAAGAGTCAGGATATCTGCAATTCGCCGCCTACACGACACGTCCGGATATCGCTTTCGCCTGCAGCAAGCTCGAGTCTGGGCAAACTGTTCGAAGTGATCAGCACTAGAAAGAGCTCGACCGTTGCCTTGCGTATCTCGTGGGGACTCACAATGTGGCTCTCGAGCTCGGCGGAGAATCCATACATTTGCGCCTCGTCGGTTTCGTAGATGTCGACGATGATAGCGACAAGCAGAATCGCAGCAGCACAAGTTGCTACATTTTCACACTCGGCGGAACTGCAATTTCGTGGGCAAGCAAGAGGATTAAGTGTGTCACCGTCTTGTCTACGGAATGGGAGTACATCTCTGATGTGGAGGCAGGTGACCACACTTAATCCGCCACTCGATACCGAGCTGCGCACCCCACCACGACGACCACTTCCACCAGTGCCGCCAGGCCACCACGGTGGTGGGGGTCCCCACGGCGACTGCGGCTGCTGCTGCGATTGCTGCTGTTGTTGCTGCTGCTGAGGCGGTTGCTGCTGCTGCGGGGCACCAGCCCCGGTCCCCTCGGCTGCACCACCGTCTCCGCTCCCACCTCCACCACCCCCACCACCCTTCCCTCAGAGTAGAAAAAGGTGACTAGAAAGATGGGTACATGGGAAGATAACCTAAGGTGTTGTACTCTATATGAGTATGCACCTATCTAGCCTATAACATATACAAAATATATGTTTGACAGATGGAGACGCGAATGGAGAGGCAAATGGAGAGGCAGACACCAACCACAGTACTGGTCAGCCGCTAAGAGGGTTTTGCGTTATTTAGCAAGTACATCGGGCATGGGGCTAGTCTTAGGAGGACATAGGCCAGTGGTCCTTACAGGCCACACAGACGATTCGTGGGCAAACGACGCTGAGACACTCAGGTCCTCCTAGGGCTACTGCTTTAGCTTTGGTGCAGGCGCCATCTCGTGAAGGTCCACCCGCTCGCCGTTTGTTGCACAGTCTAGTTGTAAGGCTGAGATCTACTCTCGTGCCATGCCGGCACAGGAGCTCTGCTGGCTGACTTTCTTGCTCACTGACTGAGGTGAGCGGACTAGCTCTGCCCCGGTCCTGTACGTTGACAACAGGGCCATTATGCTCCTATGCCCGGAGCCTCAACTAAAGGGCAGAGCGAAGCACATCCAGCCACGGTACTTCCTCCTGCGCGAGCTACAGCAGCGCCGCCAGGCACGTGTAGTACACTAGGCCTCTGGTGCCAACACAGCTGATATCTTTACTAAGGCGCTTGCGCCTAAAGATCATCAATGACAGTGTGTACAACTTGGTCTAGTTCCTCTAGCTTCTCACTTGCTAGGACCCTGACTATGTACTGTTACTTATATTATCCTGACTGGCGTTGTGGCTCTTGTTCCAGTGGCTGGACTAGTAGTGCCACCCTGGTTTACACTTTTCTAATTTCGATACTTGCTGACTGGTCTTCAGACCCTTTCCTCAGAGGTCGGACTAGTAGTGCCACCCTGAGTTGTGTGTCTCTAGCCCGTCGCTGCCCCTTGTCTAGTGTAGGAGGTGTGTCAACATATATTATATATATGTTATAGGCTAGCTAGGTGCCTGTTTATATAGAGTATAACACACTAGGTTATATTTCTGTATCTCCTCATCCTAGTCCAACAATTTCTCACGCTAATAGTTATAGCCTAGATAGGTTTGTATTCTTAGAGGGTACAACTCCAACCCTATACCTCCCTTGTTGTGCCTTGTTTTCGGTAATTCTGCTATTCTAACAGGGGTACCAAGCAGGGCCACATAAGATTTCGAAAAAGTGTTCAAGCGAAAGAATGATTAGAACAAGGCATATAATGGAAAATAACCTAGTGTGCTGGTTCTTAGAGGGAGCTGGTTCTGGAGCGGGCTCTAGGGGTGCTAGCGTGGTGCTTCTCGAAGGGAGCCGTGTTGTCGCTGGAGGTTCTGGTGGTGGAGTCGGGCAGCAGTCGCAGCTATCGCCACCGGTGTCCGCTCTTTGCCTCCTCGGTCTCCCTTCCCCTTACCGCCCGTCGCTGCCTCCCCTGCTGCTGCCGTCTCCTCCTTTGCCGGTCCACGGCCCCGTGTTTCCTCCCCCGGACTCCTCTCCGGCTCGTTTCCCTCCCCGTTCTCCTCCTGTGTCTCCTCATCTCTCTCCTGACACGACTCCTCCGTCTCACGTCTAGTCTCGTCGTCCGTCTCGTGCTCGTCATACCTCCCCTGTTCCGCGTTCTCACCCTATGTTGCTGCTCTCTCACACATCTCGTGCTCCTCCTCTCCTTCCGTCTCCTCCGTCGTCGCTTGCTGTGGCCCCGCCTCCGTTCTCGGACTTCCTCCATGTTGCGCGTCCCCTTGTTCCTCGTGTCCTCACCTCTCTCGTTACCGACCCGTCCGTTCCTATCTCGAGTCTGTTGGCTCTTGTCGCTGTTGTCACTGACTTCGTCGCTACCCGCCGCCTGGACTACGTCACCGCTCTTATATCATGTTCAAGTGAAAGAATGACTAGAACAAGGCATACAAGGGAATATAACCTAATGGGTTGTACTCCCTAAGGTACAACCCTATATAGTCTACAGAAACATACAATATATGTTTGACAAAAAGGTCTCGTGTGTTCAATACAGGTTGGGCCCGTCACTTAGGAGAATCCCCCAGTAACATGAAATGGATCGAAGTGCCCCTTGTTTCCTCCAGCTAGAACACACCGGGCTCTCTCAGCTAGTGCCTGTAAAGCTAGCAATTGGCATACGCAATCTGAAAATCGTGACTCTGACTTAGGCCCGTGTGGACTCTGATGTGTGGTTCCGAACCCCGAGTATTTCAGACCAGTTGACTACTGGACACTGAGATTTCACAGTAGGGAATTTTTGAAAAATGGCCCTTTAGACTTGGAAATTTTTTTGGGGGGTAAAATCAGAGTGCCTTTTTTTAAAAGTCAGCCCTGGGCACAACCCAATTGCTATGAACGTTGGCTAACTTGGGAGTCCACATGAGGTGCATGGATAGGAGAATTCTGGAATATTTCGATTTAGCCGATTTTCTGATGTAGAACTCAACCTTTCTGAAACTTCCTGCTGCAACATCTCCCGAACTGTAACTAGGCTTCGGCTGGAATTTGATTAGTTGCGGAATGTTCTTCATTTCGCCAACTCCCCCATTTCGCCACCGACATTTCTCCCCCTCGCTGCTGATTTCGTGCACAAGGCTGCGGCGTGAGATTCACTGTTCCAACAAGTGGCGCATACATTGGATAAGTGAACTCCCGATATATAGCCCTCCTGCGAGCGTTTTATTACGTTCCAGGAGCATTTCTACTGCTAACCCTCATATCCGGTACTGAACTCAGTCCAGGGATCCGAGTCGGCCTTCCCGCCTTCCCCAAACAGGTACTATGGCGCGAACGCACCGCAGTATCGCTTATTTCCATTGGTAGCTGCACCATACTCTGCCGCAGCTCAAGGCGGATACTCCGCCCTTGAACGAGGCTTCGCCATTGGGGCATTCGTTTCACAGCCACTCGGAATGTCTTTCCTAGTGGTACTTCCTCTGAGACGCGCACTGGTTCTTCTCCCAGTCCCAGTTCTGCTGAACCAGAAACCGCATGCCCTTCATCCCCACGAGATTGTACAGGTACTCGTTGCCACTGTTGTCGCGACCCGTTTTCGTCGGTCCAACATCGTAAGAGCACTTGTCTGCGTTCTCTTCCCCCCCGTCATCCATCCAGCCTGAACTGGCATCAGGGTCGCTTGCCGCCTCTGCGATTTCGTGGGCGATGGTGGAAACCGTCGCATCGATCGCAGGGTTTCCGTTGGGCGACGTGCTCTGCGCTCCGCAACCTTCTGCACACTGCCCGTGGTGACCCACAAACGAGTATATAACCGCGCCGGATCCCAAGTTATCCATTGTGTGCCATCCGCAATATTCGCTACAGTAACCGGGGTTTGTTATTCGAGGCGACTATCGCCTCCGGCGCAGCGAAAAGTAAATGCCCTGCGGCGCAGTTACGTCCGGGCTCGTGAGCAGCAGGTAAATGCCCTGCGGGTCGTACGGAAACGCATTTCCGTCGCCAATCTTGGTTGAAATAACTGCAATAAAAGCGACATCGCAAAAAAGTGGCAATCTAAAAACCATTCGAGGTGGAGCGAGGATGCCGACTATCTGCAGAACATTCAAATACCATTCGCAGAACGTTCGCGTAGCATAAGCGATTTCAACCCTATGATTTCAAAGCGATAAGCGTCTGTCCAATCGTAGTACACTCCTGTGTTTTTTTTGTTATGTTCGAACGTAATTGTTTATGTATGGAATATATCATGTGTGGGAAATAAAAATGATAGGGTTTGTTGCTATATTATTAGTGGGGTCATCACCTGCTGCGAGCACTGTGAATGGTTGTCGCTGCAAACTAAAAGTATCATGCTCAGTACGAGTCACTCAATTGTCAACCTCTAAGACAAGGTCAATTTAAACAAAGTCATGCATAAATAAGAGCGCAACCGGTGGTTCAGAAAAGAAACCGGTTAACGAGCCGGTACTTCGGGTCCGTGCAGCACGGAACCACATGTGCAAGGCTCAGGATGCTGTCCACGTCCACAACGGCATAGTTGTCGATGCCCAAGGTTGGCGTCAGGCGCTTGCACCCGGTGATGGGGCAAGGCTTCTGCGCCTCGGTGTAGTACTGGATGAACGCCCCGCGCTTCTCCACCTCCCCATCCTGGTAATGGAAAAGCACCAGGACACGACCATACCACGGCTCCCCCACGCCGCCGCCAGGCCTGATCGAGACGTCAGAGAAGAGGCGCTCGTGAGGGCTCGCCTTCACGAACTGGCCCTTTGAGGTCCACTCCATGCTGTCATGGGGGGGGATGGCCATGGCTGTGTGGACCTGGGTTTAGGGTAGGGGGCAATGGGGGGAGTTCAGGGAAGGCGGGTGGGTGTAGAGAGGGGGCACGAGTGTGCCTTGAATTATCGTAGATGGGAGGGCAGCGCTTGGCAAGGAGGCATGGTACCATGGCACATGATAGTCATATTGTATGATTAGACGGATTGAGCTCAGGAGGGGATAGAGGGGAGACGTGGACAGAGGGGCCACGGTAGGGTTTAGGGTGTGGAAAAAAGAGAGCCCGGTCCCACCAAATTGCTGCCATTCCATGCCATTCACTGGCCAAACCCCACCAATCCCACTGGTACCGCTCCCAAGGCCCCCTCCCCGTCCCACTTGACTCATTCCTTGCTATTCCCTGACTCTCTCTCCAAATCCTGCGAGAGCTTGCTGTTCGCGGCCCTTTCCCTCCCACTCCCACTCCCATTCTCAGTGATTCCTTCCTACCCCGTTCCCTCCAATTCCCCCCCATCCCCGTGCATTCCCTCCTATTTCCTCCCATCCCCGTCCATGGCCTCCCATTCCCTCCCATCTCTGTCCATACCCTCCCATTCCATGCCATGCCCATTTATTAAATGGGACCCTAAGAGCTGAGGTAGCCAAGTAGTCAATGCAGTCTCCCATTCCATGCCATCCCCATCCATTCCCTCCCATCCCTGGGATACCCTCCCAGGCCATGCCATCCCCGTCCATTCCCTCCCATCGCTGTTCATACCCTCCCATTCCATGCCATCCCCATCCATTCCCTCCCATCGCTGTCCATACCCTCCCATTCCATGCCTTCCCAATCCATTCCCTCCCGTCCCTGTCCATACCCTCCCATTCCATGCCATGCCCATACATTCCCTCCCATCACTGTCCATTCCGTCCCTTGACCTTCCAAGCCATACCACTCCCTCCCACTCACGGCCATCTCCTCCCTGCCATAAGGTGCCCAGTCACCCTGCCACTCCCTGCCCCGCCCTCACGTTCCATCCCAATCCCCAAACCCATGCCTCAGGGTCTAGTTAACGTACAAAGATTGTCCGCGTCTTAATCTTGGCGAGGCGAAGGCGCTCCTCCAGTTCGTGCATCGCCAGCACCCCCGCGGTCCTCATGTAATTGCGGAAGACAGGATCCCGTGTGTCCCCCGCTTCCATCTTCTTGTGGGTCTTGGTGAGGACACGCTGGTTCCTCAGGGATGCCTGTGCCGTGTATGGCATTTGGAGGATGGAAGCGGCAGTGGCGTGTTAGGCACGAGGTTGTTACGGGGTTGGCTAAGGGGTAGGTCCGTCTATACACTTGGAGAAATATGGGAATAGGGCAGCTAGGGTACCTGGAAACGCATGGAGTTCGAATCCCTCCACCCCTTTGGCCACCCATCAAACCGCTCCATACCTGCTTCATGGCCGTCTCGTACGACGCGTCGCCCCCGACCTCGCGGGTTAGCTGACGCACCACAGCGTGTTGGATGTGCTTCTTGACGATGCGCTCCCCCACATTCTTCCAGTTTGACCCGCGAGATGGCCTCTTCACTGTTGTTTTGTGTCCGTGCTCGTAGCAGTTCGATGAGTACTCCTGGGGGACGCCGCGTGCCGTGATAGAGGAGGTGACGTGGCTGACGCCATGTATCTTCACGATGTGCCACTTCGACTTCTGGTTGTCAAATGCCACCTCTAGTAAAGCCACCATCCTACTAGGGAGCGTGCACGGATGGATAGTGTGAGACGTGCAGAGGGGAAAAGGTTGCACAAACGCTTCAAAAGAGGTGACTGACACGGGGTGCGAGGAAGAGAAACTCTAAAGGGTTTAGGGTGGGGGAAGGGAACCAGGTTCTGGACAGAGGTAGAGACGAGGTAGTGGAGAAATTCCCACCCAGGGTTGAAGTGAATTTCATGAGGGAATCATCCTGGCTGGCCGTCCAACCAGGGGATGTTATATGGTGAGCTAGCACGGGAAGGGCAGACCCTGGTTGTGTGGAAGACCAGGGAGGAAGTAGGGAATTAGGGAGTGAACGGACGCACCGGATGAACAGACCCTTATTGACCTGTAGACCAGGGGAGGATAGAGGGATCAAGGGAGCGAAGGTAGGGATTAGAGTGTTAAGGGTATACCTTATTCGAAAGAAAGAACAGTGGGGGAACGACGGGACCAGAGGATGTAAGGGAGGGACCGGAACGAGTAGGGCAGACCCTGGTTACATACGTTACCTGTGGTGGACGGCGGGTCTGGGGGGATGGGCAATGTACCAAGGGAATTAGGAGTAGAGAAAGGGTTTCAGGGGGGACCATGGGGGTGAAGGAATGGAGCAGAACGGAGAAGGCAGATCCCACCTGAATGAAGGACCACGAGATTAAGGAGGGAGCAGAACGGGATGGGCAGAGTAGAAGAGTAGGAAGGGAGCAGAACGGGATGGGCAGAGTAGAAGAGTAAGGAGGGAGCAGAACGGGATGGGCAGACCCCGCCTGAATAAATGACCAGGGGATGGAAGGAGGGAGCGGTGGATGGAAGGAGGGACCAGGGGATGGAAGGATGGAGCGGGGGATGGAAGGAGGGACCAGGGGATGTAAAAGCAGGGGACCATTGTAATAGGGAAGGATCAGATGACTAGTGCACGGGGTGGGGACGATATACAGTGGAACCAAATGTCCCAGTGCGTGAGCCGACTCACTCTGTGGCGGACTCGTCCATCTTCTTGAGGCTGGAGTCGGTGTGGTACTCCGCACGTATGAACTGCTTGTACCAACTCGTTATCGCCAGGACCGCCTTGTAGATGTCGTCGCGGCCCGGAAGATACAGAATCAGCGGGAGCACCTGCATCATAGCACGGTGCTCTGATGCTGCGAAACCCGCCGTCGTAGTGAAGTACATCCACGCCCCTGGGAGCCTGAGCAGGAATGACGGCGTCACAGCCTTCAGAGCGTTGAAACGCCTGCCATGAGTGTGAGAAAGCGGGTGGGCATGGATGAGTGGTCTGGGTGGAAGAGAGCCTCCATGGCCAAGCGTGTTTGGGGCAAGAGAGAGCAACCGGGCACTACGTACTCAAGCAAGATCTTCCGCTCCTTCCTCGTCAGCTTGGCAGCCAAGCACCGCATCGCATGGAGCCAGAAGCCCTGTTCAATCATGTGCATGATGTCTGGCGGAAGAGCAAGGTAGATGTTGCCCCACGAAGTGGTTGAGAACTCCCACTTCCAAAGCACACACTGCACAGCAGACACGATATGAATGCAAAGGCAGGAATGCATGGGCATGAATGCAACGACAGGAATGCAAATACAGGAATGCAGGGGCATGAATGCAAAGGCGGGAATGCAAAGACAGGAATGCAAAGGCAGGAATGCAAATGCAGGAAGGCAAAGACAGGAATGCAAAGGCAGGAATGCAAAGGCAGGAAGGCAAAGACAGGAAGGCAAAGATACAAATGCAAATGCAGGAATGCAAAGACAAGATTGCTTACACAGAAATGCAAGGGTTGGGATGCATGGGACTCGGTCAAAGGGCAGGAATGCAAGGGCATGAATGCAAAGACAGGAATGTTATGGCATGCGGGTACGGAGCTTACAGCAGCTTAGGAAACGCAGTGCATGGGCGACCTACAGGCACTTGGTGCGTGGACCACTTGGCCTTAAGAGCGGCCAGCTCCTTCTTCTTCTTGGCTCGTACTGCTCGCTGCATCTTCTTGTAGATGAGCTTCTGTCCCTTCACCGTGCGGTTGATAGTGTCCGGCTGGACCTTGTTCAGGTTGTCCCGATCCACAAGGCAGATGGAGCAGGGCCTGAAGGACTTGCACTGCATCGTGCAAGAAACCTTGCACCCCTCCGGGTGATCAGTCACATAGGCATAGAGCACCGGGTAGACCGTGTGCTCCCCCCCCGCATGATCCACCACCTGTATCCCCCCCTGGAAACCGCAAAAGTAGCATGCAAGGATGAGAGCCGCACTGGGGATGCTGGGGGGTACAACATAGTCGTTGCATTGCTACACGACATCTCACCCGTCAAGCTGGGATGTCTCCATGAGCGGGTTTGCCACAATGTCCAGCGCATCTTGGAAGGCGGCACACTTCTGTTCGGGGAACAGGTCACCAGGAATGTTAGGCAGATTGCCTATCATCTCCGTGCCCCCCTCCGCCCACCTTGCCCACTCCGGCGTGTTTGCGAATGCCATCATCACGGGGTGGGCTGTCTGTCGGCCATTGTTGGAGAGATTGGTTTGATCGCTGAAAAGAATTATTCCCAACGCCTCTCCACGGTCCTTGATGCGTTCCTGTAGAGCATGCATTCAATGCATGAGGGATTTGGGCTAGTAGATCACCTATGGGCTACTGACGGGTGATCTCGAACGTATGCCAGGATGTGGGTGACACGTACCTGGGCCTGCAGCATGAAATCAGTGTTCATTGCCGTGCTGTAACGCCGCACGTTGCCCACCTTCCACTGGGCAGGTTTTGTCTGAAAGCCCTGGATCGCGGACTGACGTGTGTACATCGCCTTAAGTACCTGTGGAGTTTATGGGAAGGTCGCAAAAAGGCGTGCAAGAAAGCTCGGTACGAGGGCAACGTGCATAGGACAGCATGAATTATTCGTGCACCAGGGGTCCTCACCGAGAGCACATTTCGGTGCCGAAACGTCAAGAACTCGACCTCGTGATCAACCGGGATCTCGGAGACAACCCACTCGTTCTCCTCCCCCACCTCGAATGAAGCCTCGAACCGCTCCAGGTCCCGGTGTGAGTTCCACCCCTCTAGCTGCGAAGGGTCTAAGTCTGGATCCCTAAGCAGCCGGATTGTTGCCGTGATGGCCCCGTTGCTGAATCCATGATTCCGTGACAAGATGCAAACCTCGGCCCTAGTGTCGAGCAACTCAGGCTGTTCTTCCGGATCCAACACTACCGAGTCACTATGAGCATCCTCCGCA